AACACTGCGAAATATACTTTGACTGCAGTTTTTGATTGTTTGACGAGGTTGTACCACATCATCTTTCAAAACTTCGTCAGAAGCAACCGAATTCTCTGTACTGCCATGAGATCAAAAGCAAATCAGTGAGGAAAATAGGAACTGTCTATATATTGCAGATAAGATACGCTGTGCTAAAAGGAATACCATGAAAGTTGCTGTCTCTTGGCAGCCAGAGTTGAAAGCACAGAGATATTCTTCAGGCTATTAGTTTGTTCAGTTGATGTATTTTCCTGAGTGTAAATGGAAATACAGTGAACAAATGAATAAGGTATTAATGCTATCATAATCAGAACCAGAACATCAGTATCCTGATCTGGAAAATACAATAACCTTTGCACTGTCTTTTACGGAAAGAATCCTAAGCCTGGATTTTTTGACAGGATAAACTTCATCCATGCGGGTGTTAATGTATCTAGGAGTCCTTGATGCATCTGGTTTCCTAAGCCCATAATCCATCTCAATACCATTACTGGAAGGTAAAAAGGGAAATGGTCAACAGATCAACAAAAACAAATAGTAGTTCAGAAATAGAAAATTAGAGTAATTTACTTCTTTGAACCCAGGGGGGCTGGAGATTCATCTACAATCTCTATAACCTTTTTCCTCCTCAGCTGCTCTCCCTGCATGCCAACAATGACAACAAAACTGAGAGGTTTTCCTCCACTACAACTAAATAGATTTGAAAAGATTCTTGAACTCAAATTTAATGCAGTTAATAAACGACAGTCCCAATGACATTGAGGTAACATGTGATGTATTATATATAAACCATCAGTTCTTGCAATTCAAAATGAAAAGCAATTCTCAATTACCCCCACCCTCTCCTCAAACACTTCGTAACATACAAATGGAAGTGTTTATAAAACAAACTAAAAGCATTAAGCAGGTATAAAATGAGAAAGCGGGTAAAGGAATTATGAGGAAGCTGGTCAATTAACCCATTTCCACACACACATCCAAAAAAAAAGGAAATAAAGGGGTTCAAACAAAAAATAAAAAGAAATTGATTAATGAACATACAAGTAAGCAGAATATCAGTCTTCCATCCCTTCCTATCCAACATCTACAAGGGAAGTGGACACATAAGACAAACCATCATGCGCATGAATCTAATCTCACTTTGTTGAAAATGCCAAAATTCAACCATTCAAATAGTGATCAAAACTTCCAAGTTCAAGACCTTACATGCTGTTTGGAAACGTAAGATTTGAGTGGAAATGAAGCCATTTAAACACCATTTACCCAATTAGGGATGAGGACATGTAGGGTAAATGATGTATTTTCATTAACACAAGTCAAATAAATTTCACAACTTTCAAACTTATTCCAAACCAAAAACTTCAATTAGAAAATCAAATCAATTTAATCTACTTAAATAGTTGAAATCAATTCTAGCATAGAATTGGTTCCAAACAAGCTGTAAAACACATAATAGAAAGTTGAAAACTTACTCTCAGTTCGGACGGAGTCTTCCTTTTAACCATTGTACCATCAGTTAGAGCAGCAGCAGCGCCACCAATTTGCACATTAACAGAACCTAAAGAACCTCCCGGGACAGCAACTTTTGCCATAAATTACCCTCACAAACACTTCATAACAACCAACCCCCTTCCCGCCAATCAACTCACCACCTACAAACAGATATTCCGTAACATTTAAACAACTAAGTTGCAATTAATAAATACATGTTACTCATTATTAACAGAAACATAACATCAAAGACCATATAAGCTTTGCTATAGCGTTGTCCGAACTATACCCTAAATCTAAAGAATCTAAGATCAGATCGAAAACCTCCTTCAACTTCAATTAAATAATAATATAACAAATTTAAACAATCCAATTAATGCTGAGGAGAATCGGTTTCTGACAATCTAATGTCGTTTCAACTATAACTCTAGCAGCAGCACTAAACGCGGATTTACGAAGAAATTGCAGGGGGGGAGAAAGAAAGAAAGAAAAAGGAAAGAATGTGTTTTCAATGTCACCTCTGCGAAGCAAAATTTGAGAGTAACCGATTTTTCAATCTCACAATTAAAAAATGGAAGTAGGATTCAATTATGGGGTTTTTGATCGATTTGCCCCAAAAATTAAGTGTAATTAGGGCAAAAATTGAACAAAAAATAAGAGCAGGTTAGTGAGGGGGGGAGAATTTAAAAGTTGCGGTAAAGTTTATGTTTTGGGTTTGAACATTTTCGTAGTTTTCATTCCCCCCCGCTGTCCTTTACGCCGTTAGCTTGAGGAGTTAACGGTCAGAGATTTGATTGAAAAGTGACGTTTATCAGTGGGAGTTTGAGGATATGGCGTTCTACTACTCGCTAGGATTTTCTCACGCGTGTCTCGGGCAGAGAGTCGAAGCGTCCATTTATTGGTACATTGTTTTAAATAAAGCCCACTTAGGCCCACTCACTTATATTTGGAATCTTAGTTTAGTGTAGTTACTGGATAGGTGGCCGGCAGGCCCGGCACTCACTCTGCTGTGAGACTTTTTTTTTTTCAACATAAAAAACATATTAACATAATATAAATGTCTTTTAAAAAACAAATTGAGGACCTAATCATTGAATAAAATAAGTTTAATAAATTTATTTAATTTAATAATATTATTAAAAAAATTATTAACAATAAATAAAGCAAAAAAAAACCCAACAATAATTCAATACAAAGATATATGCTTATAGATATTATAAAAAAATATATCTTTATAATATTATTAAAAAAAATCCAAATGGTTCTATTTGTTAACAAGATAAAAATTAAATGATAAAAAAGTAATTTCATTTTAAAAAAATATAAATCTCTATTTTAGGAAAATAAAATATTGAATAAAAAAATTAAAAAAAATTAAAAAAAGAAATCAACTTAAGTTTGTCCGAGCTAACACACCAAATTTATAATCTCGTCGTGAAACTAAGATAATCTCATTGAAAACAGATTGAATAAAATTACGAAGATAAATTTTTAAACTAACATAATATTAAATGATAAAATTTAAAAAATAATAAAAAAAATAATAAAAAAATCTAAATCAACCTCAATAAATTTATTTAATCCATGAACTGAGACATGGTACTGAGATAACTCCATAGAAATAAATTTTTAAAAAATAATATTAAAAAAGACCTAAAAAAATGAATTCAACCTGATATAATTTTCAAAACTCGTGACTCAAATCATAAGGTCAGATCATAGCATAAAAGACAAACTCAAAAAAAAAAATATTAAATTCTCAACCAGTCAAAATAATCAAGGGTAAATTAAAAAAAAATTAACAAAAAAAATCAAAAAGAAAAAATATAGATTTTAAAAGAATGATGCCCTAATTAAAAAAAATTAATAATGGATGAAATTGAAAAGTAATTTTAATAAATAAAAAGATAAGAAAAAAAATACATACAAATAACAATAAAAAAAATGATGCAAAACTTAATATAAAAATAAGCATAAAATAATAAAAAATTTTAAAAAATATTCAATAAAGAATTTAAGGTCAAATCCATTGTAATTAAAAGAATAAAAATCTGATTTAATACAATAAATAAATAACCAGATTTTTTTTTTTGGCAATACCCAAAGTGTAGTTCGAAGAAGGGAAAAATAAAGGACAGAGTGGGAAAAAACAAGTTACATGACAACAGCAACAAGACATAACTAACATTGTCCTAAAAAGCAGTATTTAAAGTTTTTATGGCATTCCACGTATTATTTGAAGGGTGAAGGAGGCGCCCACTTCCCAGTTTTGTGTGAGGCATATGCTAATCAAATTTTTATTTAAATTACATTTTAATCTTGACCTCATTTGAAAATATATGACCTGATTGTGATATTAGGTACCCTTCTATAAAATAAATTAAATTAAATTTTAATTATTAAATAAATAAATATTAAAAAATAAAATTAAAAAAATTAAAAAAATCTAAATCAACTCAAATTAAATTGTTATACTTATAACCTAACCTAAGACATGAGATCATAACAACTCCGTGTAAAGAGAAGTTAATAAAAATACAAAGATTAATTCTTAATAAATAATATTAAATGATAATTTTTTTTAAAATTTTTTTTTAAAAAAACTAAAAAAAAGATCATTTGAAAATGATGACACGTTCGAAATTTTCCAATCATGGAGCAAAGTTTCCAATAAATAAATATTAAGAGATGTAATTCATTAAAAAAAAACATAACAATAAGATTTGAAAAAAATAATAATAATTAAATTTGACATAAAAATAAATTGAAATCAAATATTGAGTAATAAAATTAAAAACAAAATCTAATTAAAAAAATAATTTAAAAAATAAACATCAATTAAAAAAACAACTATCAAAGTTGATATAAAATTCATTAAAATTAAATTTAAATTGATGAAATTAAAAAATAAAATATATCAAAAAAATATTTAAAATAAAACTTATATCATTAAAAAAAACCAGATATAATATAAAAAATTAATAACAAAAACTTTTAAATCTTGACAAACCAACGAGAATCTTAGAGATAAAAAGGAAGAGAGAAAAAATAAGTACATGTCTGTGTAAGAGAGATACACAGAGCAACATATGCGTGTGTATATAAAGAATGATAAGAAAAAAATTAACAAGCCCAACAAAAATTATTTTTTAAATTATTTTTTTATTTAAAAATATATTAAAAAAATATTTTTAAAAAAATTATTTTTAATATAAACGCATTAAGATAATTTAAAAACACTAAAAAAATAATTTAAAATAAAAATAATAATTTAAATTTTGACAAAAAAAAAAGTTTCAAGCTTTAACTCCAAATGAGGTTTAATTTTTATCACCATCCTTCGCTTCTCTATTTAATTGCT